CCAAGATGTCCTGCGACAGGTTTTACCCAAGGCTACAAGCAATAAAACAAGAACAAAACACAAAACGAAATATCCAAATAATGATAGTAATAATAAAATTTTGGATTAGGTTCCTTAACATGGAAAAAAAAAAAAAAAAAAAAAAAAAAGTTAAAAAAAAAAAAATAGACACAAGAAAATGAATAAATACAAAAATAATATTATATAATATTCTTCTTACAATGTTCTTAGATTTAATAGATATATAATAATGTTATTCCAAATCTTATTAAAAGTTTCAGGTTTACCACTTATGTTATATTTGATCTTTTCAAGTTCCATGAACATCATCATATCTTTAAGCCATGTGGATACTTTCGGAGCTGTTGTTGATTTCCATTCTAGAACAATTCTTCTACGTGCGAGTAGTGTTGCAAATGCAATGCTCTTCTGATGGGTCTTTTGGCTCTCAGGTAAGACCCCAAAGATTGCTAGTTCAGCACATGGTAGTAGTGATATGTTTAAGGACTCTGACAGATGTTTACTGATCATGGTCCAGTAGTACTGGAGATGTGGACAGGACCATATCATGTGAGACATATTTGCCGGAGACATGTTGCACCTGTTACAGCTATCACTTACATTTGGGTACATTTTTGAAAGTTTATGGTTGGTGAGGTACAGACTGTGGACAATTTTAAATTGAATTAGGTTAAGCCGGCTACAGGATGTGCTGTCATTTACCAGCGTTAAGGCATTAGACCAATCTTCCACACTCATTGTCTTATGGAGTTCCTTTCCCCATTGTGTTTTCATTTTTTCCAGAGATCCCGTAGTAGCCTTTGAAATTACACAATTAAGTTTTGAGATGAGCCCCTTTTTGATAGGTGGGACATCCAAAATAAAATCAGTTATTGTAGGGGAAGGGGCATTAGGAAAGGTTTGGAAATTTAATTTAACAAAGTTTCGGACTTGAAAGTATCTAAACAAATGAGATTTTGGAAGTTTGTGTTTTTCGCAGATCTCATTAAAATTAACAAAAATGTTTTTAATGTAGAGGTCTTTTACTCTGATCAGGCCAAGTTTGTGCCAGGTAGAATAGCCTCCATCTGAATTTGGGGGGGAGAAAGCATAGTTATTACAGATAGGGCTATGAATAGACATGTCCTGGGAATGTAATGTGCGTCTGAACTGATACCAGATCTTTAATGTGGATGCAACCACTGGGTTAGAAGTGAATTGGTTGATGTTAACAGGCATTTTGGATGTAACTAGTGCCATTAAAGAGGTGGAGCAGGATTTGGCTTCTAGTTCACACAAACTTAATGATTGATCTTGCATCCACATTAGTATTTGTGTGAAGTTGGCACTCCAGTAATAGTGTTTTAAGTTTGGGAGCGCTAAACCGCCTTTTGAGGTATGTCTCTGTAAGAACTCTGCCTTTATCCTGGGTGTTTTGCCTTTCCACAAGAATGAGGTGATTAACGTATTTACCGTCTTAAAAAAGGAGTTTGGTAAGTGAATTGGTAAGCATTGAAAAAGATATAAAAAAGCTGGTAATACATTCATTTTAATACAATTAACTCGGCCAACGAGACTAATATGTAGGTTATCCCATCTATGCAGATCTGCTTTAAGTTTATCTATTATTGATGGGAAATTGTTTTTGTATAACTCAGTCATACTCTTGGATATAAAGATCCCTAAATATTTGAATTTTTCTGAACATATTTTAAATGGAAGGTGTTTTTGATCAACTTGATTAGCATGCTCATTCACAAGGAAACATTCACTTTTGCCAAAGTTTAATTTATATCCAGAAAAGGGGCCAAATCTATTCAGTAATTTAACAATATGTGGGATTACAGAAATAGGATCGGATATGAAAAGCAATAAGTCGTCTGCATATAGGGAAATTTTATTAATTGTATTAAATCTTTCAATGCCTTTAAATTTTGTTTCAGATTTAAGTGCGATTGAGAGGACCTCTATTGTCAGGGCAAAAAGTAGTGGGCTGAGAGGACAGCCTTGGCGTGTCCCTCTGCCCAACTTAAAAAATTGTGATCTAGATCCGTTTGTTATGACTGATGCTTTGGGAGACGAGTATAGAAGCTTTATCCAGGATATATATTTTGGGCCGATATTAAAACATTTTAGAGCCTCGAACAGGAATGTCCATTCAACTCGATCCAAGGCTTTCTCTGCATCCAGCGAGACCACTACTTCTGGGGTCTCACTGGATGCAGGAGAAAGAATAATACTGAGAAGGCGCCGAATGTTGGAAGAAGAATGTCGATTTTTCATAAATCCAGTTTGATCTGAGGAAATTATTTTAGGCATGATTAGTTCCAGTCGACATGCAAGTATTTTAGATAGGATTTTATAGTCTGCATTTAAAAGAGATATAGGTCTATAAGAACTGCATTCGGAGCCTTCTTTACCTGGTTTTAAAATAAGTGTTATTGCAGCTTCTGTTCTGAAAAAAACATACATATTTAATCTAACACAGCATTTGAATGCAGATCACCAAGTTTATTTTATAAATTAGATAAAAACATCCAGGTGAGAAAATGTGGATTGGTGTTCGTGTGGCTCTGATCTCCTGGTCTCCTGGTCTCCCTGTCTCCTGGTCTCCTGGTCACCTGGTCTCCTGGTCTCCTGGTCTCCCTGTCTCCTGGTCTCCCTGTCTCCTGGTCTCCTGGTCTCCTGGTTTCCCTGGTCTCCCTGTCTCCTGGTCTCCTGGTCTCCTGGTGAGGCTAGTTCTTCAGCTGCTCTGAAGAAAGTTTGTTTGAAGACTCTACTTGACTGTTATTCTCACAGAAACCCTAATGTATGAAACATGTGGTTTGGGACCGCGTTTGATGTCAAATGAACGTAGGAGGAGAGATGTGATAGATATGCAGATATCCAATCTCACCAATGTCACCTGCAGCACATGAAAGCAGAAGCACGCCATAGCGGCTCCAGGCCCATGGACTTCAGAATCTATCAACACATTCTTCTGTCTTATCTCTGGCCAAAGACCAAATGTCTGAGACCACTTTCCATCTAGAAATTATATACAAATACTGCTGCATATCTCCACGATAATGTGTTTGACCTCAATCTGCATTCATGATATTATTATTTGATATATTCAACGAGGGTATCTGAGTGAGGAGCTTGTTGCTATAGAGATCATAATGAAATGTTTACACACATAAATGACACATTTTACCTGCTGGTCACAGCAGTTCTATAGACTTCAAAGTATTGAATATTAATGCACATGTAACAAACGTGGCAACAATAGTCCTCCAACATGGCGTCTTTAGGCTGAGGTTAGGCCCTGACCCCTGCCCTTACGACAATCACCTTTTACCACTGTCCTTTTACGATCACAAAAGTCATTTTACTAGACTGCACCCCACACATGTGTGTGTAAAACAATCTAAATCTGATTGCCTGTAAATCTCTATGAGCCATAATGATGCCTAATAATGATGACTCGATGATCCAGGTTCATCATGTTGGTCCTTCTAATTATCAGTCATTCTGGTGAGATGTGACTATAGGCCATTGTACTTGCTCATCAAACCAGAACTCATCAAAAAGACCAGAACATTTATTGGGACATTATTTGGCACAATGGCACTAAAAGCACAGGTTGGGCTTTTTACCAATGAGTCAGGTGCCATGTTTCTACTCGTCAGGTAAAGTTTCAAATCATTTCCAGTAAAAGTTATCTATGTCTATATTGTCTGATTTAGTGTAAAAAGTTCAAATCTTCTTGGAAAGTGAGCTTGTGTGAGCGACCGACAGTGACAGAGCACGGGAAGAACGGGGCTTATTCTCTCACATGTTTTAGTCGGCGTTCTCCCACGGGACCAGGGAGAACGTTGCGCATGAGCATTTTTTTTCAAAAAGTGGAGAGGGAGTTTCTTTCCTATAATTAGGGAATAATGCTCTCATATATAGTTTTCCTTAGCAACCATCCTAGCAACGCATCTCCTGTAACGGCGTGAACCTAACCCCCATTGTGTAAGTGTTGAATGATAGTACAGAGGGAGTACTGAGGAAGGGACTGTGTGAATACTGTTGGAATTATAGAGGGCCACCTCCACCAGAAGCCTGATAAAGTAAATCAGTTTAAGCACTTCTCTGCTGCTAAATTGCTAAACCACTAAAATGTTGTAAACAGGGCACAACGTCAAGGTCATTATATTTAGGGTAGAAGGAACTGAAGTGATCTTGTTGTATGTAGTGTTGCGGAAATTACTTTTAAGTTACAAGAAAAGTAACTTTTCTTGTAAAAAAAGTAACCTGTTATTTTACTTAGTTACTCTCTAAAGAAAGTGTCTTATTACTTTATTCATTTTTTATGTTTATGTTACTGTTATTTATGCTCGACTTTGAGCTGAACTGTTCTTAAATGTGTTCATAAGATGATCAAAAACACCACAGAGAATGAAACATGGGTTGGTGTATTTCATGAACACAGCTCTCACTCGAGGACATCACGTTGGGACCTCTCACTCTGAGCCTGATCTCATTTACTCAAGTACCTCAGTGTCTGCGCTAAAGGATGCTGCGTCTTCCTCCTTATAGAAAGGAAAAAAAGTCAGCCTCACTGGCGCTTCTGTGAGCGGCAACTTCTCTTCGTCTATTCTCAGCTGCTCTTCATCATGGGGTAAACACAGCGACACTCTACAATGAGCAGCAGTATCTTTGCGGCAGTGTTACGTTACAAAGTTGTTGATAGTTAACGCTGCTTTACTTTTGCCCGGAAAAAGTCTTCTTATCAGCAGGTGCAAGATTGGGAAACTTGAAGAAGTCAGAGGGGTCAATGAACAGATGATGTGACCTTGGATGTTCAGTATATAACGACATACAGATGATTGAGAGAAGCTCCTCACTCTTCCTTCTACCAACACGACTTGTTTGCTGACCGTTGTATTTGTAAGACTGCTTGCAGACTCTTCAATATAAGATCTAAATTGTTGTCTGTCATTTTTATTACTATTACTATTTTAACATTGGGATTATCTCTGGTTGAAGGCCTCAATGCGTTGGCCTGGCTGTTGCGTCCTCAGCGGTAAAACAGCTGACAATTTACGGCAGTACTGAGGCCACTTACAGCAGAGCGAGATGATGCACATTGCATGGAGCTTGTTCTCGGAGCGGATGTAGGACCTCATGCAGATCACAAAGATGTTCCCGAAGCAGGTGGTCGCAGACACTACCCAGACGAAGACCCGCAGGACGATGTTGGCGAGAAGATCCTCAAACGAAGAGATGCCGTCAGTGTTGGGCTTACAGCTGCGGACGTGAGGAGCGTAGCCGCAGTACTGGAACTTCTTAAAGTATCTGCAACATAAAGAGAGGCAAAGTCACTTCAGGCTAGGACCAGCTTTTAACCATGCTATTGTAGTGTCTGGTGCATATCCCTGATCTCAATGAAGCCCCATTGGGAAGTGCTCATGGACAAAGTTTGGTTCCAAATCACTCTGGCTCCTCTTGATTAAAAAGTAAGCCACTGTAGCTCGCTATTTTGGCCTTAAAAAAAGTATAGCCCCCTTTATATAAGATATGAGCTATACAGATTTGACAGAATCAGATACTGTCATGAGCAAGGGAAACTTCAACTTGCCTTAGGAACCATCTTAGCAACACGTCTACACCTGTGCAAAGCTTACCACGACGAAACAAATGCCAACAAGAAGGAAGTGGGCTCTAGCTAGCTTATTTCGAATCCTCGAATTATCGAATTATCAATTATCGATTATTCGAATTATCGAATCCTAATATGCAGTCCATGGTTTGGACATCTTTTTGTAACATTGTTTTAACTCAATATTTAGGTTATGTGTACTATTTTCTAGGTAAAATAGAGAAAAAATAATTTAATAGACATTTTATTCAGTTCATTTTTGTGTAGCCCTACATCTACAGTTGTCATCTCGAAAGTAAGTTGTCGATTTGCCAACACAGATGTAACAGTTCAAGCACAGGAAATGCATTGATGAAAAAACACCTAGAGCTATTGGTCCATACGGGGCGAATGACCAATGTCCACATCCACATGTTAATACATTTTACAGGATCATTACTGTTCTTAGACCCTCCTGCATGTCCAAGGAACAACTCAAAACACCCAGTGGGACAAAAGTGAGAAACCTCAGGGAGGCCCTTATTGAGGGAGGGATTCGCTGGCGTGGATGGATGGGTTGTAGATCCAGGACTCAATAACACATGACAGATTATGGTGTAGCAGACAGAAGCAGGTTATGTCCTCTTTAAGTCACAATAAAGTCAAAACATGGAAATCTAAGCAATACTTGGAGATGCTTTTCAATTTAGAGAGATTATTCAAACACATTTGCATGATGCTGTTTTGGGAGTTATTGGACACTCAAGTTGAACTCTGATAATTAAAGAGATTTCAGATGGGGAAAGGAGGATTATCTCGGAAAGTCTTGTTGAAACCATAAATCCTTTACAAACACGCAAACAGCTCAGAGGGTCCGCCCTCGTGTTGCCATGTCGCCTTCTGCATATTTTCTTTTCACCTTTTTAATCTTCACTTAGGCAATGGTACAGAAAACAAAACATTCAACACGCTAAACACTTAAGGTTTTTGTATTATATTTTTTCTATAAATGATTAGGTATGTGTAGCCTTAAATGAAACATATTAATTCATCTAAGATCAGCCACAAACACTTGGCCTTCTGGATGTGTATTGCAAGTAAAAAATGTCCAACCAGCATATTTAGGCTTAGGAGGTTCTTTGAATAAGACAAAAACGTTAAGAAAGCGAGTACTGCTTGATTACCACATGTTTCGGCGATAGACCGCTGTCTTCGTAAGATGGGACATGTGATGGTGTGACGTGTTTCTTATCAGCTGCTGTTGCCGGATGCATTCAGTCTGACAGATCTCACAGATCTGTCAGACTGACAGATCAGCTCGTCTCACATGAGGCGACATCACCTCTATGCACAAAATGGCTATAATTTGATACGCTTTGAATGTGGTATCGTGTATCACCCACATTTTGAAAACAACGTTATGTGCATAGGATGGACTGTGAAAAATAAAGAAAAGCGAAAAATAAAGTAAAAAGCTATTTTCTAGAAAGAGAAAAACACTTCTATAAGGTTACTATTGGTGTGAATTTAGGCTGATCTTCCGGAGGAGAGAATAAAAAAAATACAATATGAAATACAATACCTGGTACAATAGTACCCAGGTTTAACATGAATGCCTTACACGACATACATTAAAGTAATTACATTACTTTTGTTACTCCCAACTCTGCCCACGAGAGACGGTCAGTTCGATGTCATTATTTATTTCGAATGGAACAGTGTATTATTGAAGAGCTCCTGTGGTAAATACACCAGATTGGCCTCACGACGTTTCATCCATCGTCCCTTTGCACGCTAGGAGAATGTGGCGCAACATGTCACATTCGCCAATCAAACATGTTTTTCTCTGTGACCATAAGGCTGATTTTGTCACATATTCAGCTCAGGGCAGCAGACAACATTCATATTTTTAAAAGCAGGCTCAAGAAACATGTACTCTTTGGGCGGCACGGTGGCTGAGTGGATAGCACTCTCGCCTCTCAGCAAGAAGGTCCTGGGTTCAAATACCGGTCGGACCAGGGCCTTTCTGAGTGGAGTTTGCATGTTCTCCCTGTGTCTGCGTAGGTTTCCTCCGGGCACTCCGGTTTCCCCTACCACTAAAAATATGTCCAATAGTTCTGGCATGTGCCTCCTGTACTGGCCCCGCTCCCATCTCTGTGTGGAGTGAGAGACAAATGCCCAAAATTAACAATTGTAAACCGCTTTGAGACTCAGATCTGCAGTGAAAAGGCGGTATATAAATAAAGATTACTACTTACTTACTTACTCTTTCAAAAAAAAAATTCAATCTCGTCCCTAATCCCTGCCCAGAACCCAAGAATGACTGGACAGTCCCAGAAGTCATCCCACATAATCTCCAGCATTATGCAGCTGGAGGCTTTTCACATCCCTTTATGACAAAGGGGATGTGAAAAAACCTGATTATTTTCCAATCAAATTCCTTCCACAGCTGACGGCTGACTATCAATACCTCCAGGACTGCATTCACACAGCTCGTCCCTCTAGTTGTTATCTATTATGGAATTGGATTCCAATTCCCATTTCTCCTTAATATTATAGCTATTTTGCCAAGCATCAGGTAATACAATGTTATATAGATAAGAAACAAGTTCAGGAAAATTATTTTCTGCCAAATACATATTTATTCATTTTCTGCCCCTTTATTAGTCAATTTCTGGGTCGGGAGGGGGGGTGACAATGAGAGCTGCCACCCAATGTTCATAGCACCAGTCCCTCACTGAACCTCTGCAGGTGGTGGGTCCACAGGAAGATGGCTGCTCCGTCAGTGGTGACACAGCCTTGTTCTTTCCATATATATTTAATTAATATATATTCATTACAAGATCTAAAAAAGGTCTCGTTATGATTCTCAAATCATTAACGACAAAACAAGGATTTCTATCTGAGCCTTTATGAAAAAGGTATTGGTTATAGATTTATTGTAAACAAAACTCTTGTTTATTCAGATATTATGGTCCCAGCTATATTTGTCTGCATATCTGGCAACCTGAGGCAGGAAATAGGCAAACCCTCTTTCACCCAACGAGTCACTTTTAATCTGTTTTATCAGTTTACTATCTTTAGCTACACAGTGTTCCTTCTATTTTATCAAACCCAAAAGGCAATTAGCAATAGTTAGGTAATAAAGTTAACAATAATAAATTGTTTGTTGGTCATGACAGAGGGGGCTGGGGGGAGGGGGGTTGTTTGAGCCGTGTCGAGTTTGAGCTGGTGGCACCAGGCAGCAGAGGTGCTGAGGGTCTGAGGTGTGAGTGTGATCAGAACTCTTACTGCCATCAACCACCCTCCAAAGACGAAATAATGTACTGCTATAGATAGATAGATGTTTGCGTCAAAAAGCTCAAAACAGACTTCAGTAAAGTCCAAATATTGTAAAGTGAAACACTGACTCACATGTGGGTTAGGTACTTGAGGGGCTGGAACATCCGCTGCTGGATGTTGTCGATTTCAATCCCTTCAATGCTCCTGAAAGTCAAACAGAGATGTGGTGAAAAGACACACATGCCTTGGGTGTGGGGTATTACTAGCTTATAGCTGAAGGACCCATGTGCTCGGGAGCTTCTCGCGATATTGCAGACTAAACAAGACTAAATTCATGTTGGCTACACAGACATTTTCCCCATAGAACTCAATGTAAACTATAACAGCTCGACCTCAGCTGACAGAGAACCTACAGCTTTCATAAAGGTCAGATTTTGTGGGGATTTTAGTGTCTCTTGTACGCCTGATCTAATTTTCTTGTGAAATCTGTCGGTTTTCTTCAAAACCACACTTTAGTGCAACAGACTGTGCTTGTTTTCTATTTCCGCTCTAGCTCCGCTCTGATCAGCAGCTGTGATTGATCAGAACGCTGCCGAGCCCCTCTGCACGTGCATGAGAGCCATACACATGTGCTCGTTAGTATTTGGTGCAAAGCATCATGGGAGGTCGTCCCCCGCGCAGAAACGGGAGGACCAGATAATGCCCAAATATGGGCGAGTTCCGCTAATCTTTCAGTGCCCACATACTGTGGCGTCTTGGATCGCAGGAGTTTAGTGCCATATGAACCAGCTGGGACTCTGAGGAGCACAGGGTCAGAGTCAAGACTAAACATGGGGAGGCAGGATTCCAGATTTATGCAGCTAAGATCTGGAACAATCTTCTTGAAAATGTGAGAGAGGCTTGTTCTCTCTATCCATCCATTTTCTTCCCCTTAATCCATTTCTGGGTCAGGGGGGTGGCAGTCAGAGCTGCACCCAGTCCACAGAGCACCAGCCCCTCCTTACAAGAGCCTTGATCTTTCAGCATTGGCTTCAGGCAAAGTGGGGTTAAATGTCTTGCCCAAGGACACAACGACAGCAGACATCGGCAGAAGTCGTGAAGTAGGTCTTGTGGTGGGCTTGAACCCATGACCTTCAGGCTCAAAGGCCAAAGCTCTACCAACTGAGCTACTGTGGCTCGTTCTCTGACATTGTTCAAATCCAGGTTAACATTCTGTTCAGCTGTGGTAACAACAGGGATTTGATCTTCACCCTTTAATGCACTGTGATGATTTTAATCCCAATAAAAAATAAACTTGCCTTGCCTTGTGGAAAGTGGAGACGGTTTAGTTTGAGTTTGGGGGTCGCTGAAGTGAAGCTGTGGTCGACGATCACAAAACAAAAAGTACTAGTATCAGAAAACTTACAGTGACTTGAGTCTGTGCAGTTTGTCGAAATGGTCGTCCTTCAGCTCTAGAATCGGATTGTATGAGATGTTTCTAAAACAAAGAACAAAATTAACAATAACTTTCTGCTACAGATGAATTATATCGGGGTCTCCAGCCTCCTTCACCCGGAGAGCGATGACTGGGACCTACTCCTTAACCATGTGGGGGGGAAAATGTCTATTTATCTATGAGACCTACTAGCCTAGATACTACTTGTCATTCTATATAATTCATTACATATTTTGTGCTGGAAGTAAGTAAAGTTTATTTGTACAGCACCTTTCACAAACCAGGATCCCAAAGCGCTTCACATTTAAAAACATACAGATAAAAATAATACACATACAGGTGAGATTTAAAAACAAAGATACAGAAGACGAAGATACAAATAAGTCTTAAGTTGGGACTTGAAATCATCAACAAACTCTAACATGCGCAGAGACTGGGGAAACTCATTCCAAAGGTGAGGAGCCTGGAAGCATCTGTCTCCTCTGGTTTTATAACTTGTTGGAGACATAGGGCTAGATCAGGCGCTGGATGTATTCTGGTGCCTGACCATGAAGGACCCTGAATGTCAGCACCAGAAATTTAAAATTGATTCTGAATGAGACAGGGAGCCAGTGTAAGGACTTCAAGATTGGACAACTAAGGGCTATTCTGTGGTTGCGGGTCAAAATCCCTGCAGCAGAATTTTGAACTTCTTGCAAACAAGCCAGATATTTTTTACTAAGATATGTAAGCAGCTGTTAAAATAGTCCAATCGTCCATATGAATGACACATTTTAGAATATCTATAGCATATTTTTTATGTATTTCTAAATCCTTTGGGGAGTTCCTGGCAACGGGGTGGCAATATACTGGTAGCTTCTGAGCTAAAGGTTGGAGACTATATATACACAATTTTATTTATTTCTTGGTAAGATAGTGCATGACCAGTGTAAGACCCGTGCATGAGCTTAGCACCGAATAGAATTGGCCAAGATACCAGAGGAAACACACACACACACACATACATACACACAGATGCAGATACACACACATTTCTGTTTATTTATTTCAAACATGCACGGGATATACACAAAAATATTTAAAGGTCTTATACAAATGCTAATAAAAGAAAACTAAAATGCGCACACACACACACACACACGCACATATACACATACACACACACACATTGGACATTACTCACAGTTGGAGCAGGTCTCCCAGTAGAATAAAGAGATTGGGAGGGATGGACATCAGCTTGTTGTTGGATAAATCCCTGTGTGAAACAGAAGAGATGCGTGAGCTCTCCTCAGAGTGAAAACAAGATTATTCACAACAAAGACCAGGGATTTACGAGGCTGCGGTGAAACAAAATGAAATGTAATCTGCAATCAAGTGGAGAGTCCAGAAAGAACCTGAGAATACAACGCATAAAGGATTTGATTTACTGACAAAGACACTTTCAAATGATGATACTATAATCATGCACTGCTATCCCATTATTGTGCTATAATCAGAGATGGGAAAATGAAACGGGAGCTTTGGAGACTGAAGCAAATCATCATTTGTAAGCGTCTCACTGGAGCCTGTGTCAGATCCATAGACTGTAAATATTAACGGACTTAGTCACGCCTATCTCCGCCGTTCAAACAAATGGGCCAAAAATTGTGCTCTACTGGAGCTATCCAAAAGGGCCGCGAGTGGTCCCGTCCACATGAAAATTGTGAAAAAACGCATCTGCGCATGCGTCAGCCGGCGCGAGCCCCATCAATTTAACAAGTCCCTTCAAAAATTCACAGCGAGTAAACTAGACTGGTCCAAAAAAATTCACCCCCCTCAGCATTGACACACATGTGGAACGGAGCTTTGGGCCAAGAGCCAACTTTTGGTCCATCCTGTAAAGACGTTTTCGAGAGGTCTGCCAATGCTATATGTTAGCATTGGCTAATTCTACTTCTGGGTCCACCCCCATCGGCCCGGGGTGGTATTGCAAGCATGTCAGCGCACGTCATTTTGGCCGCTTTTGAGCCGGGACCCGCCCCCACTGGTCCCACCGCAAAACTCCTCAAATGTGGTGAGCGTCATTCAGATGTTTTGGATCCAGAGTTCTGCTGTGAAATCACAAACACTTTCCAAAAGCTTCTCATACGCACCCTCTCTCGAATGTATATCGCTCCTTTGCATTCACAAGAAGATGCCGCAGACGCTTCACCCGGTTAATGATGAGAGCCACCCCTGAGGCCGAGATATTAATATCCATTCATTCACTTCTAAAGTTCTAGAAAGATGAGTGCTGCAGTGGGTCTAGACACTAGGGTAAAAACGTGTATACTATATATAATATAAAGTATATTCATTTTTAAACAAACTTGAATAAACTTGTCACGTGCCTTTTTGAGGCTAGTTTTGAGAGCGGCATTTATTAGCAGCAGTTGCGTACGCTCGGATCTGGGCGGATTTCACACGTTCATAAATCCCACGTACGATCTTGCGTATTTGGAATAATATATATATAAAAATTATACACCATTTTCGGCTCAAGTCGGATTCTGTTAAAAGAGCTCCGTCTCTTAAAAGTAGGCATATTTTATATTCTAACCATGTTACAACCAGTGTAACTTTTTTCACTGTTCCTTTTAAAGCTGCACTAACTGACTTTGGGATTTTGAAGCCGCGGACTCGCTGGCCTCGCTCTTTCTGCTCCCCTCCCCGCACCCACGAAGCTATCGCCCCCCACACACACCCAGTGTTGAGACGGAGCTAGTGTCTCCCAATATGGATAATACATGGATATGGATTTTCACGTGGATGGCGTGACCATAGAACGATAGAACCGGGAAGCGCGGAGGAACGAGACTTTCTTTTGGATGGCTGTTTCGCTGTGTAAGCAGTAACCGGTGACGAAGACGAGAAAGTTTCAGGTTAGCTCCGCCGCTTGTTGTGCTAACTCAGCTGTCTGTGCTAACGGAGACCTGTAGATTTCTCACGAAAGTGGGGGCTAGTGGTGCGCTGTGATCGGTCACAATCTGCGACCCGAAACACATTCTCTTCCTTGTTTCATCAAAACTCGATCTAAAATATAATGTCACGCCAGCACAAATCTGCGCTACTTTTTCTTCAAAAGGACGTATATCCCAATGCACTACATGGACATGGATAGCATTTTCGTAATTAATACGAAAATAACGTCAGTTAGTGCAGCTTTAATATGTTGTTACTTTACATTTCTCTCTAAAGAAAGTAACTTTTTACACTACTCATTACTTTTACGTTACTTTTATGTCACTGTTATTATCCACTACAGCCTGGTCGTACCACACCATAGTACAAATTACATTTCGTACTAAGGTCTGGAGGTCCTCCTTTGAGCTCAGTTAACAGGTGCAGCTGCAACACCTTTTGCAGATTGAAAAAATTGGATCTGATTTTACCGTGACGTATGTAATGTGCCCGAATGACTCGTTAGCATTTAGCCTAGCCATCTCCTTTGCCGCTAACGGAGCCAGTGGGGAGTAGCGCCAAACTACAACCTGCCCGTTCGACGCAAACTCTTGACGTCACCCACAACTAACTACAACACCCGCCTCCCGCGCTCGCTGATTGGTCGGATGGAATTCAACCGATTGTAATCACAAACACAGGGACTAGACCCAGGCATTACATGCAGTGAAATGATGATTGAGCGGAGTGTACGGCTAAAGCCAGGCTAATACTATCCACTAAAAGCTGTCAAACCAAGGAGACGCGTTAAAACCATAGACTGTCTTTGACCTGGCATTGATGAGAAAATTATGGCAACTTTTGGTTGAATATATCAAAAATGTATAGAGAAAAGGCAAAGCAAAACATATTGCAATCACAGTGTAAATATGACTCTGAATTAATGTTTCCATTTCATTTATTTTTATTTTCAGTCAAAAAAAGTGTGGCACGACCTCACCTTCTTCCCCTTCACTGTTGAACTCACCCATGTCGGATTTTCTATTTCCTGCTTTGGTAAAATTCCTCTCTCTGATTCTACATGGCCCTCACATACATGCAATGAATATGGCCTTGTTCACACTAAAGGGTACACAAGTGTGACAAAAGGCCAGAAATTAGATTTTAATAATCAGAAGATATATTATGTTTTTCATGTATCCAAATACCTCCTCTGTCCATTAGTAGTTAGAAGAAGATAACTGTTGTATACATTAGTCAAGCTTCCCATAGCTGCCCAGTTTATTTTTTGTAATGGACCTGATGTTTTGACGGAATGAGCTACATGGAAGTTTGCTAGGCAAGGCAAGGCAAGGCAAGGCAAGGCAAGTTTATTTGTATAGCACAATTCATACACAAGGCAACTCAAAGTGCTTAACAAGATAGCATTAAAATCATAAATAATCACAGAACATTAAAACGAAAGATAAAAATATAAAATCCCTCAGTTGTATGCACAGCTAAACAGCATCGTTTTTAACTTGGTTTTAAACATTGTCAGAGAGGAGGCCTGTCTCACATCTTCAGGAAGATTGTTCCAGATTTTAGCAGCATGAATCTGAAAAGCAGCCTCCCCATGTTTAGTTCTGACTCTGGGCACTAACAGGAGTCCAGTCCCTGTGCTCCTCAGAGTCCGGGCTGGTTCATATGGGACTAACATGTCACTAATATATTTTGGTGCGAGGCCATGGAGAGACTTGTACACAAGCAGAGCTGTTTTAAAATCTATTCTCTGAGCCACAGGAAGCCAGTGCAGAGACCTGAGGACTGGACTAATGTGGTCGTACTTCCTGGTTCTAGTCAGGACTCGAGCTGCTGCATTTTGAATGTACTGCAGCTGTTTTACAGCCTGTTTGGACAGACCTGTGAGCAGGCCATTGCAGTAGTCTAACCTACTGGAGACAAATGCATGGATAAGAATCTCCAAGTCTGCTTTAGACACTATGTTTTTGATCCTGGCAATGTTTTTTAGATGGTAAAAAGCTGCTGATGTTACTGATTTGATGTGGCTATTAAAATTTAAGTCTGAGTCCAGTATTACCCCTAGATTTCTGACCTTGTTTGAAGGTTTTAGGGAGAGAGACTGTAGGTGACAGATGACGCTCTCTCTTTGTTTCTGGGGACCAAAGACAATCTTTTCAGTTTTGTCTGCGTTTAGCTGAAGGAAGTTGTTTTGCATCCACTCACTGATCTGTTGGATACAGTGAAGGAGTGAGTCCACTGGTCCATGTGCTCCTGCAGTCAGTGAGACATAGATCTGAGTGTCGTCTGCATAGTTATGATAGGAAACTTCGTTTCTGCGTATTAACTGACCTAACGGCAGCATGTAGAGATTGAACAGAAGAGGTCCCAGGATCAACCCCTGTGGGACTCCACAGGTCAGGGCCATATGATCTGAGACACAGTTTCCAATCTCCACAAAGTACTTCCTGTCCTCAAGGTAAGACCTAAACCAACTTAGGGCTACATATTTTCAGATGTCCACATTTGATTTAAAGATTCTTTTTTATAAACAGAGTAGAAAAAAGTGATTACTTTCATGTAGCAAACCAATTAAATGTGAAACAAGGCCATATTTTTTTCCTGAAGTTTTTTTTTTTTAGAAAAAAATGGACAGAAACTATCCCGTCCGTTATGGTATGATTCCTTTTAGAATCAAGTGATTTACTTCTGTTGTGTTCTTCTATGTTCATCTGCTGCTTTGTCAGTCATAGGACCTTTATCTTCTTTGTAACTGGCGTCACGGTAGAATGATCACATCAGAGGCTCATTTGGTTGTTTAAAATTATGCCAAAAAAGTATTTGTCAATCTATGATAGAAAATTTTGTTTTTGACTTATAACCTATTAAAGTCCATATACTTAAATTGACACTTTACTGTGAACACACCGATATGGACTAATCCCTACAGTCTATGTTATAAATATTGGATGGCATACAAATGGCATTTTCTGTACTTGAACATGAAGATAAGGACACCCGTGGTGAGAATCTGTGAAAATGTAAACACAACTGCAGAATAAACAAACATCTGGCGCGGACCCAAACGGATGCCATTAGCAGAACGTCAAGTATTTAGTCAAAGGGGCTTTTGTGGGATATACAGCAGCCATGATTGAAGTTTTCTAATGGCAAAACTCAATCACACTTCAAAGCCTGGGTTTCCACAAAGACCTCAGATCACAGTTTGGTGCGCTTCTCGTTGAATTTTCCAAACCAGTGGCCAAACAAAGCCAAAGCCCTTTCTCGATGATCCACAAGACGCGTGATGGGAGATTGTTGTGCAATATTCTTTCCACATTCATATTCCAATTTCTCTGCTGCTGGCTCTAAAAAACAAACAAAGTGGCTTGAAAAAAGTTTTCATACCCCATTAACTTATTTTGTTATATCCATCCATCTATTTTCTTCCCCTTAATCCATTTCTGGGTCGGGGGGGTGGCAGACAGAGCTGTACCCAGTACACATAGCACCAGCCCCTCACTGATCCTGCTGCTCTCAGCGGGGGCTTCAGGCAAAGTGGGGTTAAGTGTCTTGCCCAAGGACACAACGACAGCAGTCATCAGTTGGAGTCGTGAAGTAGGTCTTGTGGTGGGCTCAAACCCACAACCTTCAGGCTCAAAGGCCAATGCTCTACCCACTGAGCCACTGTCGCCCCCTTATTTTGTTATAACCCCAAAATATTAGATTCATACATTTGTGAACAGCCGTTTTATGAGCAGCCACAGTTCCTGGATTGGACGTGTCTGGACTATTGCTGTTAATATTTAAGCAAGACTTTGACTCCATTACATTGATCTAGCCTTTTTTGGACTTTCATGTTATTACTTAAGATAAACTAAGATAAGATACACTTTTTAATCTTCTCACAATGGAGAAATTTACATGTAAATTTGGCATGATAGAATCATAGATATGATATCATATGATAGATTGTGCAAAAGACAGAAGTGTGAAGCCAAAGTGACTAGCTGCAGATATTGTGATGGCTACCACTCAAATCAATGGCACAATTATAGTTTGCCACAAGTTTAATTAAAAAATAGTAACACGTTCATTAAAAATTACATAATACTAAAGTACAGTGATACAAAAAGAGGTCACATAGACTCCAGACCTTTCTGTGTGGAGTTTGCATGTTCTCCCAATACCAGTGTAGGTTTCCTTCGGGTGCTCCGGTTTCAACTACCACTGTCCCAACCAAATAAACAATAAAAAAGACCAAGAATGTACATAAGTATGAGTAACTTAAAATAACGCTTTCAAAACTAAGAGCCGTCAAACTTCTGTTGTGAGTTTTGTCATTCAAGAGAACAGCAGGTTTCACACAAAAACCTAAACTAAAAAGTTTGAACTGTTTAAAACGATGAACTGTTTTGCATTTTTGAATTTTGTCAGGAGTGTTATCTTAAGTCTTCCAAATGTCCTCAAACCAACCTACTCACTTTATTTATTTATTACTTTGAAGTGGTAGTTTTTGTTGAAATCTGCTTCTTATTGTAATCATATAGTTTCAGCATGTTTATGTACAGTAGTCAAAAAATCATAATCAAAAGCATAATCCTTACATACATAATACATCACCACAGTAGTTATCTCAGAGGACTTTACAAGCCGCCAAGTCGCCAACAAAGTTCAGAGAATCAAACCGTTCAAACACAAGAAATATAACGATAAAAAATACATAGTTTTTGGTCCATAAGGGGCAGATGACCAATAGTAAGTAAGTTTTTTATTTATATACCGCCTTTTCACTGCAGATCTGAGTCTCAAAGCGGTTTACAATTGTTAATTTTGGGCATTTGTCTCTCACTCCACACAGAGATGGGAGCGGGGTTGCCAGTACAGGAGGCGCACACCAGAACTATTGGACATATTTTTAGTGGTAGGGGAAACCGGAGTACCCGGAGGAAACCTACGCAGACACGGGGAGAACATGCAAACTCCACTCAGAAAGGCCCTGGTCCGACCGGGATTCGAACCCAGAACCTTCTTGCTGAGAGGCGAGAGTGCTATCCACTCAGCCACCGTGCCGCCCAATGTCCATAAGTGTTGATAAAGTCCATAAATACATGCATACACATACATTAATTCATTTCTGGATCAGGGGGGTGGCAGTCAGAACTGGACCCAGTACACTTAGCACCAGCCCCTCCCTGATCCTCCTGCAGGTGCCGAGTCCACAGGAGCCTTGATCTTTCAGTGGGGGCTTCAGGCAAAGTGGGGTTTAAGTGTCTTGCCCAAGGACACAGCGACAGCAGTCATCAGTGGGAGTCGTGAAGTAGGTCTTACGGTGGGCTCGAGCCCATAAGTTTCAGGCCCAAAGGCCAATGCTCTACCGACTGAGCCACTGTCTTTAACTCCCAGACCAGTAATTTTGACTTCTCCATTCATTTCGACTTCTCCATTCATTTCCTTATAACATTTAGTAGTGATGGGTAAATGAAACCTCACGTATCGTTTCGGCACATCCAACGAACTGTATTGATACTGTGCCGCAACAGTGTTGCTTGTGCTGCTCTATACTGACGCCTGGTGGATCTGATAAATCATTGCATCCAACTCACTGATTCAATGAGCTTTATATACTTGTCTGTACACAATATTACCTGCATTGTCTGTGTTATTTTATTTTTATGTGAAAATTAAAGTGATAGTTGTGAATGTATTCATTAAGCAAAATGTCATTGAGTGATTTTATATATATATATATATAAATAAAAAAAAAAAATTCCAAAACAATAAGCATGTCCAAAGTGCACTGTAAACCCTGGCAACTAAAGTATACTTGAAAAAACCTTTGACATTTTCTGCACTTCAATTTCTCAAAATTATTCTTCAAGACTGTGATGTCAACATAAGCTTTTGAGGTCCGACAGGGATTCGTACCCGGCTCTCTCAAACGCGAGGCGAGAGCGCTATCCACTCATCCACCATGCCTACCCACATTTTCTGTTTCAAACTAAATCTTGATTGTAGATAAAGCGTGAAATGTAAAATACAAACATTGCCTTATTTGCTGTTATTTGCAGTATCACACTGCAGAATACTTTCTTTTAGTTGCAGGTTGCATTTTTTATACTGTAAAATGGGATGTTTTTCCTTTTTGAAAGGGTTATTTTCTTTTTCTGAGAGCGGTTCATACCGGTGACACTTGCAGATGCGGAACCTTTTAAACACAGTTTGCCGTGTTGGTGACAAGCGACACTGCGGCTGTATCGGTCACGTGGCTTTTTCATAAAGCAACACGCGCGCCGATACGAGGTTTCGCTAAACGAACTCGGCACATGCGCCGGTGTATCAGTGTTGCTGGACCCATCACTAACATTTAGATATAGCCAATTTTACTTATGGTCATGACATTCTATGGCAGTCAGCCCCATTTCTCTGAGGTGCTGGTTCTGGTCTGGTTCTGGTCCAGCTTGTTTTTCCACCAGAGCAAAGCCTGTGGTAGTTACCATAGCAACACACTTTTACTTGCAGCAGTTTGGTTGCATTTAAACAAAATGTTTTTTCTGTATTCCGAGTTATACTAACCAGTTATAGCACTAAAGTGACTATTATTTGGATTGAAACGTGAACTGTCAAAATGACTGCTCTGGCAGTTCTTGTACTTTCAGAATTCTGGGAGTCCAAGTGTTAGCCCCCTGTGTAATGAGCGAAAGTACTCACAGCTCGCCAAGTTTCTGCATCACAGAGAAGGCCTGGTCGTGGATGTGGCTGATGCAGTTCCTCTGAAGGACCCTGTGGAAATCACAAACTTTACTTAGTGTTCAGTCACCTTAGGGAATAGAACCCTCATCCAGATGCACTCACAGAACTGTCAGCATGTGGCAGGCCTGGAACGAGGCATTATCGATGGTTTCGATGAGATTTCCTTCTAAATCCCTGCAAGAATGTTTAAACCGATTACAACACATTAGTAGTTATGGATGCGTGTCCAAACTTTTTAGAATGTTTCGTTCATCAAAATGTCCAGGGGCCCACTACACGGATTGACTTGATTCAGGCTGTTCAGTGGTCTTTAAAATGTGGTATGACATGTCCCAAGACAACCAGTATGTGGCATCGGCCCCTACGACCACCACCAGCCATTCACACACACTCCTGACTGATTCTTATGAGGGTGAAGTGTCTTGCCTAAGGACACAACAACAGTTTTGCACTTTACAGCTGCAGCCGCCCCACTGTGAGTACACAGTACATACCAGGCCCTGGGTTAGGGATAGGTCCATTCTCAGCACTTCCCTTCACGTACATTTGGACTTGCACAGTAGCCGACAACAAATGTAAACAACAATGGTGCTGCTTACACTAACTAGCTAATGGTGCTTTCAGACCGGAACATGCGTTGCGTCTGCTTTCAATGCAAAGTCTATGGTGACGAACGTTTGAGTATCACAACGCACGGACCTCTCGGCATGCACGGACGGACTGTTCAGTAGACACTCACGGACTTGGCGGGAAAGTCAAAGGGGAGGAGCAGGAGCGAAAAATTGACGCCACAGGAGATGGATTCTACTCATCCTTTCCTTGGGACGTTCGTGCGACAACCAATCAGAGAGCCGCAAAGTGTTCACAGGGACATTAGCGGACTTAGCGGACTGAGCGAGCAGACTGAAAATACTAAACAGCCAAAACAGGACCCACACCAGGCTTCACCAGAACTAAACCAGGATTGACAATGGGGGACCGTATGCTTGTGAATATATGTGTATGTGCCCGTGACTTTATGCAACTGCTTCGAGTGTGTTTGCCGATGCGGTTTAATAATATGAAAAAACGTATGGCGCACCTCCGTGAACACATACTACTGTTATATAAAGCCCGTGGAAGGTCTCTGTTCAAAGACACGCTGCAAAGCTGCATATTGGAGAAGATCTGTACACAAGAAGCCGCTAGCTAAACTCTGTTAGCATCAGAGCCGGCCGGCTACTTCCGGCACTTCCGGTGCGCGTCAGGACCAGTGGGGGAGGGTCCCAGCTCAAAAGTGGCGCTGATATGCTTGCAATACCACCCCGGGCCGATGGGGGTGGACCCAGAAGTAGAATTAGCCAATGCTAACATATAGCATTGGCAGACCTCTCAAAAACGTCTTTACAGAATGGTCCAAAAGTTGGCTCTTGGCCCAAAGCTCCGTTCCACATGTGTGTCAATGCTGAGGGGGGTGATTTTTTTGGTCCACTCTAGTTTACTTGCTGTGAATTTTTTAAGTCTCTCGTTCAAATGAATGGAGCTGCGCCGGCTGACGCATGCGCAGATGCGTTTTTTCACAATTTTCTTGTGGGCGGGACCACTCGTGGCCATTTTGGATTGCTCCAGTAGAACACATTTTTTAGCCCATTAGTTAGAACGGCGGAGATAGGCGTGACTCTGTCCGCTAATATATACAGTCTATGGTCAGGACGTTCTGGTGTGAAGACCCCTGCGTCTGAAAACTAGAGAATGCGCGTCCGGTGAGCGGGGCTTCAGCGTTTCAGCGTTGCAGGTCTGAAAGCACCATAAGTGTGCTACAACCACAAAAGAGATTTCTACTCAGTCTAAACAAAACCAGTTTACATTTTTGCTGCTACTGTTTAATGCAGAATGATGGTGGTGCATAATTTTCGTCTTTGCGTTGGCCTGAGGAGGATGTTGTTGAGGAAGTGGTTATACTGGTGGGGGTGTCACGTGTGTCGTGTTGTAAAGTTCCACTGCCCCCTACTGGCCGGGTCCTTCAAATAAGGAGACTGGTGGTTTTTGCAGTTTTTTGCAGCATCTCCATCAAAACGGGATAGAAAAGGGGAAAGAAGAGAGGACCAACCTCACTCAGCCAATCACCTCTCAGCCCAAAGCATCGAAATGTGACTCACAGGGCTCTCTCTGACAATTATGAGAAAGATAATGTTCGTGGTGAGATGTGTTTTTATATACTCGTGTGATTGGTGTAAGTGAATGTATACAAGCTTATAGAGGCAACTGTATTAACATGTATAAATATGTGGCCATCCAAAATGGTACTTTTGAACTTTTAAAATGGAAGTGTGAGTGGCAGGATTTAAGTTAGTCTGTACATCCATTCCAGAGATCAACCCATCAAACAGATAAACAACATTTAACAAAAATGACACTAGTTCTATATTTCAGTAATGTTTTTGACAGAAGGTTTTTTGATCAAGGGTCGACTAAATCATATCATTTTGATGTTTTGTCCAGGTCTCTCCCAGAAACATGTTTTTTATTGACCTAATTTGAACTTGATATGATATTTTTAGGTTTTCTATATTTACTTTGTATAAAATGACATCGCTAATTGTGGAAGTCTGCAGAAGTAAAAGATCTTCGATCTTGTACTCACAGCCAGTTGAGGCGTGGCATCTCCCGGCAGATGTCGTCCAGTTTGATGACCGAGTTGTTCAGCAAAACCCTGAGAAGGAAAATAAGAAAGTAGAATACAGGGATCAAGAATTCCGAGCTTCCGGCTCGACCGCACGGCATTGTGGGTAGTCTTCTCAAAAAAGTGGACCTATTAGATTACCTGTTGCAAGCGTGATCTGTCTCGTTTTTCCAGCCCATCGATTGTTTTAATCGCTACAAAAATCACCAATTTCAGACATTTTGAAGGTAAAGATTTTTTCATGTAACAAAAAAGCAATGGATTTATTTTCTTGTGGTTTTAGATGTAAACACAACCAGCTGATGATAGAGCTACACGCTGCTTATGCTACTTACGAGTATCGAATGTTTACACGCAAGCTTTATAAACTTGCCCAAAGCTGTACTTTGGACATGTCTGTCTGGTGTGGAGCTTCTGAATGTAGAGAAGGTCAAATACCTGGGGCACGTAATCAGGAGTGACCTCAGTGATGATGACATTCAGAGGCAGTACTGTAAGCTGTATGGACAGGCTAACACTTAAGCACAGAGATTTCACATGTGTACAGAGTAAGTGGAAATAAGCTCACTGTTTGTTCTTAATAATGTCCCCACTCTGAATGCTTTGATCAGAAATTTTATTTATAAGTTCATGAAACGCTCTGAGGGCTTTATGTCCAAATACAGCTTTGGGTAAGTTTATAAAGCTTGCGTGTAAGCATTAGTAGATATATGTGTTAGCAGTATAGAGCAAGTGGTGAAAAGGTGGTACTGCACCCTAAAATCCCTAGAAAGGTGTCGGCGCTCTTGAGCAAGTGGTGAAAGGTGTTACTGCACTTTGTTTTTCAAAGAGTTTTTAATGAGTTAGATTCTGTGTGTGTGTGATAATGCTTTCACAGTTGTCTAAAGTGTTTTATGATCACGGTTTATTCTAAAACAAGCAGTTAGGTCAATAAACTAATTAATCTACAGGTCCTCCCTGTTAACGACACGTGTGCTGTCTGATAGTGATGAGCGGTTGGAGGAGGGTGTACTAGCAAATCAGAATGGGTGGGAGGTCTGTTAGAAGTTTTTCAATGGTTCAAACGCATTACGGCTGTCTAAGAGAAGGTTATCCAATATGTCTAATACAGGTAAGTTATTAATATAACATTTTTCAGTATTCATATTAAATGTTTTAATATAGTTTATCTCTAGGAAAGGGTCGTTTATTGACACATTATAACAACGATGAAGATTTAACCCCTGCATCAAAAGTTACGAGAGGTCTACAACCAAGGGATGAAATATGGTAAGAGCACATTTTTCCTTAAGGTCTTAACCAGATGTTTAATACTTTTTGCATTTATACAGCACAGGCAAATTAAACACCAAGTCAATGCCCCTGATGCATAAATTACGTCAAGTAAATCAGCATAAAGCCCCGTAAGTCCGTACATATACTAGCTAATTTTTTTTTTTTTATATAACATGCTTTATGAACTGTGTAATTTTTTAGAGCAATTCTATCACGCTGTAACGGACACAAAATACCTAATCACGGGGGTGATGATGATAAAAACAACGGTGAGTTACATATTATAATTTTATAATGATAGAGGTTATAATTTTAGTAAAAAAAAACAGAGCTCCCCAATATAAGCGAGGAATTGAAGTCAATCAAGGCACGCTGTGTTAGTGCAGAGATACACACAGACAGGTGTCTAGCAACTGTGAGCCACCAACTAAAATACACAGAGACACGTGTACTTAACGAAATAGATCAGTTAAAGATTCAACTTCACCATCTCCAAACAGAGCACGTAAAAGTTACTAAACAAGTGTTGGTGTTGCAAAATCAGCGTACAAACGCATCTATACATAGAGCCAAACTCCGTGCTGGGGGTCAACGAGCCCAGCTACACACACGCGCGCTTCAGAGAGAGGTCCTCCAATTACAAACACAATACACGAAAGCCACTATACACAACCGCGAATTAGAAACAAAAACCTTACAGGGGGAAATACAAATTCAAAATTTGACTACAGAAATCAAACATCTTAAAAACACTGGAAACGCAATAGCTGATAGAATTGAGCAAGTGGATAACCAAGCGAGCACGTCTATAGCGGCTGCTATAGAGCAAATCAATGAAAACACTACTCATTTGAAAGCCATCGAAAATGCTTACGATTGTGAAGCACAGTAAAAGGCCTAACACTACCGCACCCTCTCAACTTACTAAAAAAATAAGAATTAATTATGGTCAACGCTCTAACACTTATACATGTGTGGAACGTTTAATTCGTACTAATTATCAAACAACACGTAACACAGATCGTACCAATTATCAAACAACGCGTAACACGTATCCGTGTATTGATCGACTAATTCGTACAAATCATCAAAGTACGTCCCATGCTGCAGAACGGTTAACAGCACAGACCATAGCTGAAAGGCCTCAGCTATCAGACACTACCTCAAATGTTGATAATGTTAACCAGTCAATAAGTAAAGATACTATTCAACCCACAATACAACAACCTACAAACAACTGTGTAGGTATTAATAGTCAAACTATAGAAATGGACACGCAAAATGACGAACCACCTACACACAGCTCTGTTTTAAGTCGACACAAACAATGTTTCAAGAAATTGTATAGTTCACACAGACCCCCGGGGGGACAATGCTAACGATACCATACAAGTGGGGGGTGTTGTACAGATTACTGAACAAAGTGATATCCCAGTTAACGTACAATCAGATGGAGAGGTTCATGTTAACATAATACCTGAGTTTCACACCACGGTAATGTCTGAGCACATTGATTTTCGAGGTATAGACCCTACAGATACCGTAAAGGCTTGTGAAAGAGTAAATGAAAAATTAACAGGGTTAATAACACAGGCTGTAAACAATGCAGAACAAGGATGTGTGATGAATGTTGCATTACGAGGGCCCTCGCTTAGTGACGATATTCAAGTTATTTTGAACTCTGACAATAACTACAATATTGACCATTTTTTAGACGAAGTGGAAAAAGTGTTACAAAGTAACGACAAGTCCATTATAGAAGATGAAATGACATTAATAGTGAGTATAGCACATTCACAAAGTGGTGGTAAACGTCTCAAGCTTGGTGCTGTAGCATACGATACAATATTGTTAAAGAAAGGTAAATTTCTTTATAACCCTCACAATACCGAAAATGCGTTGTGTTTTGCCATGTGTCTCGCTCATGCATTTCATGCCAACTATACGCATAGTAAATTACTCGATAAAGCCAAAGAGTGGCAAGCCGCAGTTGGTCTCGATCAACAAACAAACGTGACACTGAATGATGTGTCAAAGTTTGAGAATCTGTTGAACATAAAAATTGTTGTTTTTCACAACAATCCACCGACTAAACGTCTTCAATCATTTGAAACACAGGATAGAATGCACGAATGTACAATAGCCTTATACCTTTATGAGAATCACTACTATCATATCAAAAATAAAACAGGGTTCTTTGGGAGTTCATATGTGTGCAAATACTGTCTCAAGCCATACAGTAATAGTTTACAACACCTCTGTAAATACCTTTGTAACATCTGTTACACACAGTGTGGGACAGCAGGGAAAACAATTAAATGTCCTCAGTGTAAACGCATCTGTAAATCTGCCCACTGCTTTAAGCAGCATAAACTACCAGACCCCGTCCACGATAGAATACCGTGCTTTTCTGTGACATATTGTGAAGAATGTAAACATATGTATCACAACACAGCTAAAAAACACGTGTGTAAAATTCCAATATGCATCCACTGTGATGCTGAGCTCCCTGAAGGTGGTGAAAAGCAACATAGTTGTTACATCAAACCTTTAAAAGTGATTCAAGAGACAACCAACTACATTTTTTATGATTTTGAGACAAGGTACGATGGTAACAAGCACGTCCCCGTCTTAGTCTGTACGCTTGATCAGGATGGTGATAAATATAACTTTTCACACGATGGTTGTGTTAAACGAATGTTGAAATATTTTAGAACGCCAAAGTTTCGCGATTACACATTCATAGCACACAATGCAGCGGCTTTTGACAATTATTTAATACTTGAAGAGTTCGCGAGACAGGGGCTAACACCACGTCTCACTGTGAGAGGCACGCGGGTGCTCTGCATGTATGACAAGCGACTTAGGCAAAGATGGCTGGACTCGTACAGTTTTCTCCCAATGCGTTTAGCACGTATGCCTGAAGCCTTAGGGTTTGATGACCTAGAAAAGGGTCATTTCCCTCATTTATTTAACACCAAAGAAAATGAGTGTTATATAGGCCCCTACCCTGAACCGGCCTTTTACGGCGTTGACAAAATGGATCAAGCGCAGAAAGTTAAATTCAACGAGTGGTATGACGGTGTAAAACATACAGAATTCAATCTACAATTTGAAATGCAACGCTATTGTCTCAATGACGTAGCTGTTCTCAGACGTGGCTGTCTGCTCTACCGTGAAATGTTACTCTCTGGAACAGAGGTGGATCCGTACACGTTTGTAACTCTCCCAAGTTATTGTATGGGTGTTTACAAAACGATATTCCTGGAGAAAAACACAATAGCTCTAACATATGACGGCTGTTATAACGGGGGCCAACAAGTGTTTCTCTGACGGATCAATCAAATGGCTCGAATACCTCTGTAAAACACAAGGGTTAACAATACAACACGCTCTCAAAGGGGGTGAAAAGCAAATTGGCCGCTATCACGTAGACGGTTATAACCCCTCTACAAACACATGTTACGAGTTCTTTGGGTGCTTTATTCATGGACATGAAAAGTGTTACCCACCGGGAGGTATGAATCACCTATCTAAAAAGACTTTTAGTGATCTCTACATTGCAACCATTGACAAAATAAAAAACCTGAAAGGTCAATCCAATGTGGTAGTCATGTGGGAATGTGAATGGAACAAGTTAACTAAAACAGATACTTCTGTGAAAGAATTTCTCAAAGATTACAAAAGTCCAGAGCGTTTAAATCCACGTGATGCTCTTTATGGTGGTCGTTACAAATGCCATAAAGTTATATTACAAGGTGTCTGACGGTGTAAAAATACTCTACTATGATTACACAAGTTTATATCCGTCTGTACAAGCGTGGAAAGAATACCCCATAGGTCACCCACAAATCATCATTGGTGATTTTGAACCACTAGAAGCATATTTCGGATTTGTAAAATGCGTAGTATTGCCGCCTAGAGGACTGTTACATCCTGTGTTACCTCATAAAATGCATGACAAGCTGTTTTTCATTCTATGTAAAACATGCGCCACAGAATTGAATCAAATGACCGAGTGTGATCACACTAGCACAGAACGAGAATTCACAGGGACTTGGCCTATTTCCGAAGTGCTAAAAGCTGTAGAAAAAGGTTACATTGTACAGAAAATTCACGAAGTGTGGCATTTTGCTGAAAAATCAGATCAACTGTTTAAAGGCTATGTCAAAAAGTTTTTGAAAAGCAAACAGGAAGCCAGTGGATATCCTGATCATGTGAAAACACCCGAGGATGAGGAGAAATACATTGCTGAATATCACGAACGTGAAGGTATTTTACTGGATCGTCACAACATTAAACCTAATAAGACGCGACGGAGCTGTAGCAAATTGTTACTGACTAATTTATGGGGTAAATTCTGTCAACGTTCAAATCTTGGGCATACAGAGATGGTGACAGATCCTGCGCGTTTTATGCAACTCATGTTTTCTGATCATTTTGAAGTCACCCAATTCCACTTCATTTCCAATGCATTGGCTATAGTACAGTGGCACTATGCTAATGGGGTCCAGTCGCATGCAAAAGATTGTAACATTTTCATCGGGGCCATGACAACATCCTACGGAAGGCTCATGTTATATGAACTTCTGGACAAGCTTCAAGACAGAGTGCTATATTGTGATACAGACTCTGTCATATTCACAGCAGCAGTATAGAGCTTTTAGCTGCTGCATGAACTGATGAGGCAGGCTCACTGTGGGTTTTGTGAAGAGCCACTGGGGTGGGCCATTAGTTCGGGAGGCCAGATGAGAAAACAGAACATGTTGTGGAGGGCTGTATATATACATATATAAACTTTCTTATATATATATATATAATACATATGTATATTTTTCTCCTTAAACACAGGGATCTTCTCCCCGCAAAATACATTTCTTTGTTTATCATGAGCGGACGTTGTTAAGGGCTGCTAGTGACAAGTGAGCATACAAATGTGAACATACACCACAAACACCGCTGCTCTAAAGGGCATCAAACCAGCGTGGAAAAACCCAGACAAAGTGTACTTCAATGGAAAATGAGCCACAGACCGGATTAGTTCCTTTGGTGGCCTGGACCCAGCACCCATGCTTTACTTTGCTCAGGTCTGGTGTAGAGTCTGTGTGTTTGTATAGAGTCTGTGTGTTTGTATAGAGTCTGTGTGTTTGTGTAGATTCTGTGTGTTTGTATAGAGTCTGTGTGTTTGTGTAGAGTTTGTGTTCTGCTCTGAGATTCTACTGCAAATGAAATGCCCTTTAGAATCACTAAATCTGAGATGACCGTAAAAACACAAGCTGGTTTGCTGTTGTGCAGGTGCAGATGGACTGATGGGGATCTACTTGTTCATGATTGGTGCATATGATCTGAAGTTCCGCGGGGAGTACAACCGGCACGCGCAGGCCTGGATGGACAGCAGCCAGTGCCAGGTGATCGGCTCTCTCGCCATGCTGTCCACGGAGGTGTCTGTGCTGCTGCTGACCTACCTGACCCTGGAGAAGTACATCTGCATTGTGTACCCCTTTCAGTACCTGACGCCCGGCTGGAGGCGCACCGTCACCATCCTCTTCGGGATATGGGTCTTTGGCTTCGTCATCGCCTTCCTCCCTCTGGTTTGTAAGGGACTGTTCCGGAACTTCTACGGGACCAACGGGGTCTGCTTCCCATTGCATGCAGAGCAGCCAGAGACACTGTGGGCTCACGTCTACTCCATCGTCATCTTTCTGGGTAAGCTGGTGACATTCTTTTCCATTTGTTTAACACTAGTTTATATCTATGTCAGGTTTTTTTTTATGAAATTATCTTTTACTTTTGAAAGTAGTTATACCATTAACTCATTTTCCACTAGATAATATCAAGTGCTAGTTACCATAGCACTTACTGTTTACTGTTTACTGAAGTTAGAATGAACCTTTTTTATGTATTTCAGTTTCAGTTATTATGACCAGTTTTAGCACTTGAGTAAGGTGGACTTGAATGAAGTGAGTAAAAGTAAAAACCTTATAAATGTATTTCTTTTAATGAGTAAAAAAAAACTAAAAGAGAATTGCTCAGAATGCAATCAGTTTAAATGAGAGCAGTGAAAATGTCGGCTCTGAGAGATCTAGTAAAAAAAGAATTAAAAATGCTTAACTTGTTTTGTGAAAAAAGATTCAGTAGCCGCTCAACATGTTCTAATTGCTTTACAATGCACCCAATCACAAAGACGTTGACTAATGCTGGATTTAATCTCAAGTCATTCATTTTCTTGTAAACTGTCGTCCTCCAGCTCATTTTCCATCCCAGCAGAATCTCATTATCATTCTTTCTATAGGAACGCAACACTGCAGCCGGATATATAACCATAGTAATTACCCGATTGGAGACAGTGTCGACCTGAGCAGAAATACATGCTCTCCGACAGTAGATAGAGCCGTACCTTTAGATGTATGTCCTCTGTGCGTGTATGTGTGGTGTGTATGTGTGTATATGTGTGCATGTATGTGTGCGGGTATGGGCTGCTATGTGCCTGTATCATGCAAGTTGCTACTCTACGGCTACTTTCACTTTTAGCAGGTTACTTTAAAAACAAATCACTGCAATGATGAACCATGCAGGGACCACTGTATTTCAGATGTTGACCAGGAAGATTAAATTATCTCCAGTTTAAAGCCCTCACTCAGCCTTTTGGAACAGCGCTATAAAAGCAAGAAGAAGACGTTTGAGAATCCACTGCAGAAAACCCTGCATGAGATCATTATAAATGTGACCAGTGTAAAACTATTGATCTGAGATGGTTCCCTTTTGGTCCCGACAGAACGCACATCTGGTTCATGAATCAAAGTGAAACTCCTCTGTCTAAAAATAGTTTTTTAGATAAAAGTGACTTCAAATCTTGGTGGTGTCCCCTGCCCTTAGCAAGGAAGGGAGAAAGACACATGTAAGAGTTCATAAGGAAAGAAGGGAAAATCATTACCGCACGCACGCACACACAGATCCAGCAGATCCAGCTGTCCTCCAGTCACAGGCGTCGTCCTGCTCTGTAGACCGAAGTGTCAGGGTATTTCTTTGTAGACTGTAAAAGTTTCTCTTCCTCCAGGTCTGAACTTGGTGGCCTTCCTAATCATCGTGCTCTCCTACGCCAGCATGTTCTACAACATTCAGCGCACAGGAACGCAGACCACCAAGTACAGCAACCACATCAAGAAGGAGGTGACCATCGCCAAGCGCTTCTTCTCCATCGTCATCACTGATTCGCTCTGCTGGATCCCCATCTTCATCCTCAAGATCATGTCGCTGCTTCAAGTGGACATCCCAGGTAGGTGTTGTGGAGGTTTGGTGCATAACGTTCAGACAGTGGCGGGCGGGGATTTTTAGACCTGCGCTTGTGGTGATGTAGCCAAATTACATTTCGTACTAAGGTCTGGTTTTGGACTGCGTGGTAGAGGCGCGACCTTTTTTTGTTGAAATTTTTCCTCGGGACGCTCGTGCAGCGACCAATCAGAGAGCCATAAAGTGGTCACGGAGACATTAGCGGTCTAGCGAGCAGACTGAAACTACTCGTAAACGACAAAAACATGAGCTAAGCCAGGACTACACCAGGGCTGACAATGGGGGACTTGTGAACATATGCCTCGAGCCTGAGTTGTCATTCTCCAGTGGCCGTAAACTAGCACAGCTAGCATGTTCGCCGATGCGAAAGTACCGTCTAATAATAAAATAAACGTATGGCACACCTCCGTGAACACATACATCTGTTATATAAAGTCTCTGGAAGGTCTCTGGAAGGTCTCTGGGCACAGAGACGCTGCAGAGCTGCATTATCGTCGGTGGTCTGAACGCGGCTTTAGGCCAAGCTAGTGGTGATGCCCTACCCGACTTAATCCACCTCCTAAAACTATTATTCGGATGCTGTGGCTCTTCACCAGGCATGTCAAACTCAGGCCAGTGGGCCAGCGAGACCATCGTTAGTGGCCCTTGGAATGATTTTCAATTGTCGTTATCACTGTAACTTGCAGCAATGATGGTAAGATGCAACTATATACCATGGCATATACTGCGTTATACTATAATTATAATTATAATGCCTTTTGTCTCAGAAAATGTTACCTAACATGTCATTTGAAGTTTTAGCTACTTAATAATTTGTTTTCTTTTTTAGCTAGCAGTCTTCCAATACATATCTTATTGATATTTGGCCCAGCTGTGGTTGAATCAAAACTTAGTAGATAATATCCAAACTCTTGTCAAATACAGTGAATATAATTATATGAAAAAACGTTTATAACACTTTTATGCTTCTGGCCCTATGTTTTTTGGCTCCAACCAAAATGAGTTTGACACCCCTGCTCTACACATTCTGCATTTAGACCAAAACAGGCGTTGCATCGCCTTAACATATCATCAAGTACAATAGTTATGTTAGTTACTGAGATTCACTCCTCAAACAGTATGAGCTTTAGCAGCACTTTGATCTCCAATCAGATGAGATCAAAGGAATCAACCCGTCGCATCCAAGGAAGCGTCACAGAAACATGACACAGATAGACTTTTTTAGTTTTAGTTTGCTTCTCAGAGCCTGCAGCCGGGGTCCTGTTCGTAGTGGCAGAAAAATCCACTCCCTGCTGAATCAAGCTTGCGAGTGTCAGGGCAGCACGTACTGTAGCTATTCTTGAAAAGTAATTCTTAAGAACAGCGTTGTTTTTTCTGCGACCAAAACGTTTTTCAATATTCACTATTTTCCTCTCCATCTGTGTCCCCTCTCGTATATGTGTCGGGGGTTTGGCTGTCGGCAGTGTTGTATTGATCAAGCAGGTGGCAGCAGCGCTCTGTGGGTGTCTGGTCAAAGGTTACCGTCTGAGCTAGTGTGCAGGAGAGACAGAGGTGATACGATTCACAGCGGAATACAGAGAGGAGCAGGCTTCATCAGGCGGCAGTTTGAGCAGCAGTCCCTCGAGGATTTTACGATGTTGCAATCAGAACTGGTAACGCAAAATCAAGCAAACTCAGCGAAATTAGTTTGACCTTGCAACTTCTTCTAAACTTTTCAGAAACAAAGTTAGGGAGTATGTGGCAGTTTTAGCCCTTGTTGTGGCGGCGGACGGCCAGACGGTCACTTACTTTTGTGTTTGTAGTCTGGGTGAAAACAGGTGACACAAGCTGCACATTTGCCAACTAAAATATCGGCAAAGGAGCGGGCAAAGCAGAACCCAGCGTTTCTTCATGAGCGCGGGGGTAAACATTTTTGTTTGAAGTGCAACGTTGTTGAACACAAGCGAAAGTCGTCGATAAAGAAAAAAATGTCTAGTGCAAAACATGAATGCTAGCTAGAGCACTTTCGCGTTCAAATAATAAACCCATTCAGGACAGTTCCTTCGGCGTATGAGCTCAAAAGAGCACCTGTTTTCAAAGTTAAAGTAAAGTAAATTCTCTTGTTGAATTTGTGCATTCATATTTGATCCTTTATTCTTGGGGAAAAAAAAGAAAAAAAGAAAATGTCCCATAAAATCAAGCATTTAAGCCCTCAACAATCACAATAATTGCCGGCAACATCTTGTAAATGTGTGTCTCGAACTAACAAAGAGCATGTGGAGGCTCAGGGCAGCAGACGACAAAAAATTGACTATCGCTGATACTATCTCTGAGCCCACACCAGGAGCCGGCGGCAAAGTCCTGTTATAGTCACAGAAGGACAACAGAGACAGCGATTGTATCACATAGTATTTGTTAAAATAGTTCAATTTTGTAGAACCAGTTAGGTTTTAAGATAATATAGACGTGTTAAATAAATAAATAGAGCGCAGTTAAATGCCGAGTGGCTTTCACGTTGTAAGGTACACATAATCAACATGGCACGAGGACGATGAGATTTAATATTTGCAGGGTTCACTAAGATCTTGAGCTTTCCTCCCGCAGGAGTCGAGCCTAACCATAATCCATATCTTATCCCCAATTAGATATATACGATGCCTGCCCCAAACTCTAACGTCAACACACTTCTTCTAAAACTTCACCGTAAATCCACAAGCGCTTTAATACTATTGGGTTTTCTCCTATATGTCTGTAGAAGAACGGCTTTGAGGATCATTATTGTCAAAATCCAAATATTTTTTCATATATTGACTTAAACTATGCCGCCATTGTGGGATCTTCACTTCAGAACCATTTGCTCATAGCCATCAATGTCATGTATGTTAGAATGCCATTTCATCAAAATACTGTATGTGTGTGTATCTTGTAATTTGCTTCACAATGACCGGGGAATGTTGCTATCGATTGCATGACTGCCCCGAGCGATCTTCTATTGTTTACGGTAAATGTCTTGCGACCTCACAGCTCAGCCAAACCGTGAAAAGCCCATTCATTTGAAACAGGCTTTGACGGCGTCTCCTGCTTTCAGCGAAAAATCTATTACGTTACATCAAGTTAAAGTCCTTAATCTTTCACCAGGAGCCCTACAATCAGAACGGTCGCTCCAATTCACAATTCTCCAGTCCTCCCACCTAATCCTCTTTATTTATAGCCTGTTTGAGGAGCAGACCCCCTGTTTGCATGTCTTGCTCAAAATCACTGCTTCTTTTTTAGTTTTTTCAGTCTCAAAGATGTACAAGACATGTCCCAGTTCTTTTTTTGAGCAGACTGAGAGCAGGAAGTGTGTCTGTGTGTTTTGAGAGAGATACACATACACACACACACACACACACACACACACACACACACACACACACACACACACACACACACACACACACACACACACACACACACACACACACACACACACACACACACACACACACACACACACACACCTTACAAGCGTTTTATTTATACTAACCCCGACTGAGCTCCAGAGCTTATTTCACGCTTCAAAAAGTGGAATCATTTGGACATAATGTTGTATCCAATTCTACAGAGTGTTCCGTTGCATCTTGGTAGGATACAATAAAAGTGTTCCAGAGACAGGACATAGGAGAGGACCACCTGCACGCAGCCAATCAGCTCTCAGTCCAAAAATTGGCAGATTCAGATTCATTCGCCTTGCCATTTGCAGTAAACCAGATTGGAACACACGCGTAACCAGACCCCAGCGTGTGCCAGACAAGTACATGAATAAACAAGTACAGGAATAAAACAGGTGTAGCAATGAAACAAGCAAAAAAAGTTCAAGACACAATTGTCACTGTTAACAGCAAAAACAGTTTCAATACAAGTGCAAGGTCATTGAAGTGGTTTGTTCAAACTAACAGATTGTGAAAAGAAGCTGTTAGCAAAATTAGATGTCCTGCGGCTCGGCAAACTATGGTGCTGTTTACACAAAGGCGCTGCAACAGGGCGGCACGGTGGCTGAGTGGATAGCACTCTCAGCAAGAAGTTCCTGGGTTCAAATCCCGGTCGGAACTGGGCCTTTCTGAGTGGAGTTTGCATGTTCTCCCCGTGTCTGCGTAGGTTTCCTCCGGGTGCTTCGGTTTCCCCTACCACTAAAAATATGCTCACTATAGGTACTATCCTCCAGCTCCGGTAGTCCTGACCAAGCCGAGCATTAACATCTGGAGATGGGTTCCCGGGCGCTGTTACTACGGCGACCACTGCTCCTGACATAAGCCTTATTGGCATCAGGATAGGTCAAATGCAGAGGATGAATTTCCCTACGGAGACAATAAAGTGCACATTTATTTTTACATTTTTACAAAAGGTTAGAGTTGGGTATTGGATTGGTCTTTTGTTTACATGAAGACGTGTTTCAGGTCATTGTACAAAACAGCCTCCAGAGTGGAACAGAACTTCACATCCGCGTGAAGAAAAGGGTGTGAATTCTTTGCTGAAATTACCTCGCCCCTTCCCGCACGTACATTTGGACAAGCGCAGTAGCTGAGAACAAACGTTAAAAACAATGGCGTTGGGTACACTAATGCTAACGCGTGCTTCGAGAGCTACACGGAGGAGAATTCTACTCCTTTGTTTGTCCAAACGAAACCACGCAAAGCTGTAGTTTCAGTTTGCATTTTCACTGCTGCTGGAGCATTCCTTCACGTCTTTGCAGGGGTTACGCATGTCTTGTTATAAAGTTCCACTACTGGCCGGGAGAGAAAAATACATGTCACATTGGGCATAAATAGGATCATGAGGCTAAAACAGATATAGAGTATCTTTTGTGCAATTAAGTTATATAATGCGGCCGTATTTCACAGTCGCAAGTGAATCACATATGATTAAAAGGACTCTTTCCTACAACAAAGAGAAAGATAAGGTATGCCAAGATACTTATCCATTATTCACTAAAAGAACGTCCTAGTCCGAGTGATGTTGCCAGGTCCTTTTTGTTCCACATGCTCAAAATAATGAGTAAATATGAAGAGCCTGAGCATGAGCTTCTAACACAATATGGAGCAAAGATTAATACATATATAAGCTCTAAAAGCTCTTTCTTCTGCTAGTAATATAAAGAAAGTGCACAACGCAGTACTTAACGCTTCATAACATCAGACAGACTACAGAGGCTCTAACGTTACTTCTGCTCATTAAGTTGATTAGCAGATGAAAGCAAAAAACAGATGATTCTTGGTATTGGCTTTTTTCAGATATATTCTGATTGTCTTGACCGCATACAGGGATTTCCTACCTGCTTGTGGCTGTGATAGGAACATCCCGTGCTAAATACTAATATAGAAATGTCCCCAGTTTCCTATGCTAACGGCTAATATAGAAATGTCCCCAGTTTCCTATGCTAAATACTAATATAGAAATGTCCCCAGTTTCCTATGCTAAATACTAATATAGAAATGTCCCCAGTTTCCTATGCTAAAGGCTAATATAGAAATGTCCCCAGTTTCCTATGCTAAAGGCTAATATAGAAATGTCCCCAGTTTCCTATGCTAAAGGCTAATATAGAAATGTCCCCAGTTTCCTATGCTAAAGGCTAAAAAAAGGAGCAGCCCCAGTTTCTAAAGCTGTTACTTGATGTTATTGCCTAATTCGAATCCTTCTTGTCTTGGTGGCCAAAACACCGGCTTCTGGGAGCTTCAATAAGAAAAGATTGATATTAAGAGATCTTAATATAAACAGTAGGAATGAGTAGCACACAGCACCTTATTGCACTGCTTATTGTAGGGTATTACTAGCTTATAGCTGTGCCACCCACGGGCACAGGGGCCGCCCGTGGTACTGCAGACTAAATTCACGAGGGCTTCCCAGAAAAAAGTCCCATACAACTCAAAGTAAATTAAAACAGCTCGACCTCAGCTGACAGAGAACCTACAGCTTTCATAAAGATCGGATTTTGTGGGGATTTTAATGTCCCTTGTCATCCTGAACTTTTTTTCTTCTTAAATCCTTCGGTTTTCTTTAAATCCACACTTTACTGCCACGAACTCTGCTTGTTTCCTTCCCGCTCTGACTCCGCTCTACCGTTGCTCTGATGAGCAGCGCTGATCGGTTAGAGCGTGGCCGAGCCCCTCTGTGCACGTGCATGAGACCCACACATTAGTCACAACAACTAAACAGACAATTAATAAATTCATTCATTTTATACCCCTTTTTTAGTCCATTTCTGGGTTTGGGGGGTGACAATGAGAGCTGCCACCCAATGCTCTTAGCACCAGTCCCTCGCTTATCCTCTGGTGGTGGGTCCACAGGAAGATGGCTGCTACATCAGTGGTGCCACAGCCTTGGTGTTTTAGCAGCGGCTTCAGGAGAAATGTGGGGTTAAGCGTCTTGCCCAAGGACACAACAACAGCAGACATCAGTGGGAGCAGTTGGAGTAGGTCCAGTGATGGGCTCGAACTCAAGACCTTCAGGCCCAAAGGCCAATGTTCCACCAACTGAGCTCACAGTGGGCGACAATAGCTCAGTTGGTATTTAATCCAAACACAGCACTCAGTCTCAACACCTGAATCCTCGCTCAGGTGTTTCAGACCGTACACAGACTGTAAATACTAACCAACATAGTGAAGAAGATGACATAGTCTGGGATCGCGTCTTTAATTCAGACAGAAGACATGTTTTATTTTCGATGGTAGAGACAGCACGAACAAAGCACACGATCACAGAAACAATAGAATGCAAGTGTATAATACAGAGCCGAGGCATGGAGACCTCCAATCAGCAGCTGCCACGGTGTGCTTGTAGCTTGGCCTTCAGATAGACACAACAAGGGAAAAGTACTGGCTTCTGCACATTGATAGAATGATGAGTTTAACTTTAACAAAAGTTGCTTCAAAGTGTTATGAAATCTCATAATAGAAACACCTATGAAACTTGTGTCATCAGTTTTGCCTTCTGCGTTCTTTTTAAAAAAGGCTCAAGGGTGGCCCCTCCTGCAGGAAAATTTTTAAAAACCGCTTTTGCACATGTGTTAGCCGGCACATGTCCCATTCATTTAATGAGTGCATTCAAAAGTCCACAGTAGCTAAACAAGACTGGTCCAAAAAAAAAAATGGTGTCATAAAATCAATGGGATAATTATTTTTCCATGTACACCACCACCAGAAAGAAGTCAGATTAGACCCTTTTGAGCCTCTCACTTTTTTAATTCACTTTTTTCTGTCATGTTTTTAAAAGTCTTCCCTTGCCGATGCAGCAGTGTATATGTCTGCTTTTTGACACACTTGTTTTTGAATAATGTGAGTGACGTGCTGGGAGCTCACCGTTCATGTGAGAGGTCGTCCACTCAGAGAATAATGATGTCTGTGTCCTGAATGTTCAAGGATAACATTTTTGCACTACGCTCAGAAGTGTTTGCATCAGTTATTGTGAGAGACTATAATAAACGTGACATTTGAGTTGAGTTTTATTTTTCTAAATGTTTGTTATGCCTTTGAATAATATGAGGGACGTGAACCGAAATATATTGCAGAATTGAATCGCAATACTTTCTGTATCGTAATATTTAGGGCGACAGTAGCTCAGTTGGTAGAGCATTGGCCTTTGAGCCAGAGGGTCGTGGGTTCGAGCCCGACTCTCACCATCGACTCCCACTGTCTGCTGTCGTTAACCTCAGGGAACACCAGCCACAGTGGGGAGACTGCGGCTGTAAAGTGCCAAACTGCTGTTGTGTCCTTAGGCAAGACACTTCACCCCCATTGCCTAGAATGAGTCTGGTTGGTGGTGGTCGGAGGAGCCGATGGCACATACTGGTTGCCTCGCTTCTGTCAGTGTGCCCCAGGGCAGCTGTGACTACAGTAGTAGTTTATCACCACTGTGTATGGAGAGAAAGAATAATGACATGTAAAGCGTCTTTGAGTGACCAGAAATTATTATCATTAATATGTCTAACATTGCAATAGTATTGTATTGTGGCCCAAATATTGCAATACTATCAAATTGTCACATTTTTGCCTATTCCCACGCCTAGTAATCATGTCACTTGATTAATTCTTTAAAACTTTAACAGAACATTTAAATGAGTCCCAATCTGGCCGTAAGTCTGTGGTTGGAGTCATTATGGAGGGTGTTCTTAATAACGGGGCGACACACAAGGGCTAATGAAGAACAGAAGATTAATAAAAAAACATCCAAAGGAAATTTGTCACAGGCTGCCGCAGAGGCAGATACAGTGACAAAGAGAACTGAAGACAGTAAAACAGACATAAACCAGCAGCACTCTGCTCTACGGCTGCTTTCAGGAGATTCATCGAGAGACATTAGTAGTTCAGTTCAGGTTGTTTGTTATAGTCACAGTCTCTGCCGGAAATAGAGTCTTTGTTGTGCTCTAGTGCATACCGAGTTCACGTGAACTCTATTCCAAGCTTTAGTCACGGTGGACACATAACAACTGTCTCTCCCACAGGAACCATCTGCTCCTGGGTCGTCATCTTCATCCTCCCAATCAACAGCGCACTCAACCCCATCTTGTACACTCTGACCACACGGCCCTTCAAAGAAACCATCCTGCAGGTACACGCTGTAGATAAATGGATACTTGATTAATAATTCAGGTGTCCAGCAGCAGAAACACATCCATCCACACAAACAAATAAATAAGTTTTTCTAAAAATCATGAACAATAGTAATAAAGCACTTTAGGTCACAGCAGCAGAGGTGGTGATGAGCTGCTTCCTTTTCTCTGGTTGATGAAAGCAGGGTCTGTTCGGTTCAGACCAATGCTTTATTATTATATTAAAGAAAATTAGAATTACGCTTTAAGCTGCTCTGATCTGGATCAGTACAAAATCATGAACACTGTACTGCATAAAAATGTACTGTTTAAAAAAAAATTCAAAAAGTGCACAAGAACTGATCCTTACATACTGTATACACATGTGCTGTAGCGGCCGTGACACTGACAACTGTAACGGTTCATCATACTCTCCTCATTTAGCGAGGCCAGTGCAGTCTGTGGGCGGGCGGCAGACCATTTACCACCTTGACACACAGACTTCAAAGGTGTGCGTGATGCGGCTGTGAAAGTGTGTAATCTCACCTTTGATTTACGTACTCTGGACATTTCTGAAGCTGTGTTTCCACCCGGTCATGCATTGCAGAGAGTTGCAATACAAAGTCAATGGTGACGTCCGCCCATGCGAGGAATTGCATATACGTCGTGGGCGGCACGGTGGCTGAGTGGATAGCACTCTCGCCTCTCAGCAAGAAGGTCCTGGGTTCAAATCCCGGTCGGACCAGGGCCTTTCTGAGTGGAGTTTGCATGTTCTCCTCGTGTCTGCGTAGGTTTCCTCCGGGTACTCCGGTTTCCCCTACCACTAAAAATATGTCCAATAGTTCTAGCATGCGCCTCCTGTACTGGCGACCCCGCTCCCATCTCTGTGTGGAGTGAGAGACAAATGCCCAAAATTAACAATTGTAAACCGCTTTGAGACTCAGATCTGCAGTGAAAAGGCGGTACATAAATAAAAACTTACTTACTAACTTACTTACGTCGCAGCATGCACTTTTGTCCCGCGCAGCAGACGCCTTGTTGCGGTGGCAGAGGCAGTGGGTACGGCGGCTAGATGCATGCAGCGAAAGCAGGAGACTAGATTCACTGAAAATCCTTGCTCCATGCAAGTGCGGAAATCAATCAGAGAGCAGCAAAATGGTCACAGGGACCTAAGCCGGTCCAAAACAGGAAGATGTAGACACTCCAAAACAACCAAAACAGGAGATAAACCAGGATTGAACCATTGCTGAGGATGGGGGTCAGTGCTTCTCTTTACCCAAAGTGGACATTCACTCTGACTGTAAACAAGCGCTGCTCACGTGTTCGCCGATGCAGAATTACCGGCGTTAGCATCAAAGCCCGCCCACCACTTCCTTCCTGCGTTTTTCCCCAAAACATGGTAAGTAAGTAAGTAACAGAATTGTGTGTGGGTGGGTTAAAAAATATAAACAGGTAATTACTCGTTGAAAGATGAAAAAAAAAACACCTGAATGATCCTGGACGAGATCATTGTGGTTAAAAATAACATGAGCATCTAATTCCTTGACCTCAATAGATAGGTGTGAACAAGAACAATAATGTATAGCTTTTGTATAAAATCAACTTGTCCTCAGTTTTACCATAAAAATATACATTTTTTATACAATAAAATCTCAAGCACAGAGCGCTGCCATATTGAAACTGTGGCCAGCGGCTTTTGTGAATAAGACGGCTTTGAAGAGTCTGAAGAGATGCTGCATTTTACGCTTGTGTCGTCAACTGTTCGATTCTTCTGAAACATGCGCTTTACATACTGCACTCGCAGTTCATGGAATATTCTGGAACATTGGAACATAATGAATGGATTTAGACACAGCACGTTTGTGAAAAACTTCTCACAAAGAGCACATGTCGAGGTTACATTTGTTTAAATAATATAAGCGTCAATACTTGTGGAACCACAGTCCTTTGAAAGGTTTTTCTTCCGCAGGTTTGGGCAAACTACCGGCAGCAGAGGCCCCTCCTCAGTGGGCACCCTCCACACCACCCGTCACTCACCTGGCAGGAGACCTGGCACCTCCAAGAGGTGAACAACAGCACCAACCACACGGGCCCCCTGGAGCCTAAGCAGGCCTCAGCCCATGACCTCACACCAGTGGAGAGTCCCAACGACTTCTACAATGACCTCAGCAACCTCCCCAAGAAATCTGACCCCAAAGAACATCCGGTGCTGTCGGTGTGTTCGGCTACGCAGCATTCACCAACGGAAACGCCAGTCAAGAAGAGCAGCTGAACTATTTAAAACAGACTGGGACAATAACAAGGTTGGATTTTCTACTGTAAAGATGTGTCTACATGTGAGGTCCTCGTCTGCTCGTTTTGTTGGAGACAGTGTAAAAGAAAAGCATGCTACAGAAGTTGAATAGACTTATTCAGGTTTCATGGTACCCAACCAAGCGACCTTAAACTCCAGGGTTTTAAGCTTTTCTACGCTGTGTTTCTGTCACAAGGAAGATTTGTGTTGTGTTCATACAGTCGCCACGACATCCATCCTTTTTTACAATCCAACATCACAAAAGTGACACACAGAGAGAATTATAGAACATTTGATGTCAATAGCAGATCATTTAAAAACAATTTTAAAACATCTGCTCTCTTATGATGAAGAAAAACAAAAGCTGAGTCCGGGAATGAGACCGGGACGGAGGCTGTAGTCCAGGACTGAGGCTGTAGTCCAGGGCTGAGACCGGGACTGAGGCTGTAGTCCAGGACTGAGACCGGGACTGAGGCTGTAGTCCAGGACTGAGACCGGGACTGAGGCTTTAGTCCAGGACTGAGACCAGGACTGAGGCTGTAGTCCAGGACTGAGACCGGGACTGAGGCTTTAGTCCAGGACTGCAGGGCTGAGGCTTTGTCTGAGTCTAGAACTGAGGGAGAAAAATAATTCAAAGAATGGTGTTATTTCAACAAGAAGATCAGAAATACGTCTTTAAACCGTTGAAACGGATTAATATTGTACAGACTTGAAATTCTGGCCTCTGAAAAACGTTGGGTTGTTTCATTGACAATTGAGGAAAGAACAATGAATGTTCCGTTTATAGAATCAAAGTGAATTGTAAAAGGAAATATGGAAACGGAAATGAATAGGTGCAGGGTGGATAAAAGCAAAAGAAAATGGATAAACAGGTGAAACACAGAAGGCTCACTCCACACTAAACTGTTCAATGTGTTACATTTTGGTCAATGACACGAAAAAGTCCAAAATGTCCGCGGCCGTTACTGCTGAATGTTCACAGACCCACTCTGGTTTTGTCTCCAGCTTGTTTGTCCAGTGGAGGGCGCTCTACTTAAACACAGATTCATTCATGCCCGAGTTATTAACAGCGCTCCAAGACAGCCGTTTTGGACGTGACAAAAGTGGACACGATCGTTACGTCCAAAACGCACAGTTTGTCATCAGTTATTGAATAATAGTATTTTTTAATAATGTAAAATGAATAATTACACATTTATTATATTTATATCTCCAACCATTAAATAGTCTGTCCTGTTCATTCATTTTTCTTGAAATAGTTTTAGCCGCCCTTCTGAGATTATACTATGTTCATATATAGGCTAAATAGTATCAATTTTTTTTTAGGTACAAACATTTTCAGTTCATAATTTTTTTATTGTCGCTTTAAGTTAGATCGAGCAATGGTACAGTTTAGTGTGGAGTGAGCCATATTTCACACATTGATATACAATGTGATTTATTCAGTGATGCCTTTAATAAACCAGCATATAGTATCAGTATGTCTGCTTGTGTGTGTGTGTGTGAGACCAGTGTGTGTGTGTGTATGTAAGACCAGTGTGTGTGAGTGTGTGCTGCTATCATATAAAAACAGATAACGCCCTGAATTGAAAAACTAATGAAAAATGTGCTTCGAGCTCCTGTTTGTGCCCTGCAGATACCCCTCACCACTAATTGTCAAAAACAGCATTCCCATAGTTATGTGCAGACATGTGGGGAAAGTGTGTTTTTAGCCTCACGTGACAAGGTGGGAAAGAGAACTGCCCATCAGCTCAAACCATTGACCACTCTCCACTTAGGAAATACTTTGGTGTTAAAGTCAGAACATCCAGGACATTATAGTTTGAGGATATGTTATTGCGTCCGTAGTGTCGGAGAAGAGACAGAGGCAGGAGTGATCTCTGGCTTATTACCCAGTTTTCCCAGATAGAACGAAAGACGACAACGTTTTTAATGTGGTTAGAGACAGTTATGACGTCAATGCTTAAGATATATATATATAGAACAAAACAAAACAATCATTAATTTCTTCCCCTTTGTCCATTTCGAGGGGGTGGCAATCAGGGCTCCAGGCAAAGTGGGGTTAAGTGTCTTGCCCATGGACACAACAACAGCAGACATCAGTGGGAAGGTCTTGTGAGCTCAAACCCACGGCCTTCAGGCTCAACGGCCATTGCTCTACCAACTGAGCCACTGTCACTTCGTCTAAAATCTAATCAAATTTAGTTATAAAGCATAATTCATTCATAATAAGCTTAAAGTTTAATCCAAAGTGTTTCACAAGCAACTAAAAACAGACAATGGAACAGAAGACAGTGCAAATACATACACAATTATATACAACATATAACATTTAAACGATAAATGCCTCAGATTAGTCATATACATAGCTAAATAAGACGGTTTTCAGCCTGGACTTAAACATTGCTGTAGACACTCAGGGCAACTGTTAAAGATTTTGGCCGCATACTTTTGAAATGCTGCCTCCCTGTGTCCAGTTCTGACTCTGGGAACCAGCAGGAGGCCAGCCCCGCGCTCCTCAGAGTCTGAGTTGGTTCTTGAGATAATAATACTTAGTCCAGACAATGCATTTATCACCGACGTCTCAATGGCCTTGAAAAATCTTCATGTTTGTCCTAAGTCCAAAACATGCAGGTCAGATTCCACAGTGGTTTGAAAACATAAAACAGAAGGGGTGGGGGGATGATGATAGTTGATTAGATTTTTTCTCTGAAGAGAAGAAATGCACTTTTTAAAAATCATACGTTTTAATTATGCCTTTGAATATTATGTTTGTCATTCAGGACTGTAGAGCCAGGACTCAGACATCTTCAAAATGGATGAAAATGTAATGAAAAATCAAATTAATCTTGGGAAGTAGGCACATTTAATGATTACACTAACTATTACCATCTGATTATATCTAATTAAAATCCTGTTTTCATGATTGAACACATTGCAAACATGAGATTAAGAATCTGCTTTATGATTATCGTCTTCAACATGGATCAGCCTCTTCACCAATTCCAACTTAAAAAACTTAAACCCTCACATATACTGTAAACCAAAGGACACGGCTGTGATAATCTATAACTGTAGCTCATAATAACATACTTAGAACATTTCAAATCTCAACGTTGATATGTGAAAGAGAAGCTCCGCTCTCTGCCCACACAAGCCCAGCAGGCTCCGCTCAGACCGCCCATCAACTTAGTGATCAATGGAGTGTGTTTCTCCCACGTATTATGGATTCAGAAAACAACCAGAAAGACTTTGAAGGTTCTTTAGATAAGACAAAGAAGCAAGTGTGTGTTAGTGCCTTGAGATGTTGTTAGTGCGCCTTTGGAAATGACCCAATATCATCTAATTGGTCAAAGTAATGTAGGGGATTATTACATAAACATTTTGAGAAGGACTTACTATTGTTAATCGTGACTGCAGAGTTTCATGTTTGTATCAGATTCAGCGGGTGGTGTGCCGTGTGATTGTGTTTACTGGAAAATATGCGCCACGGCCCCAAACGGTTCGGAAACACTGGAATAGAAGGTGCTTTATTGTCAGACACAAGGGTCCGAAATTTGTTTTGCACAATTCGGCAGCTCCACTCAACAGACAATGTAAACACATACAAGAGACAGATAAGATATTCCTTTATTCGTCTCACAGTGGAGAAATTTCAGTGTCATTGTTTTGCACATTACAGCAGAGAAAGAAGGAACTAAGAGCACTCAGATTGCACACATCAAATTGAGTCTATTATTTAAGATAGACTATATAATTAAATTAAGAATAAAATAAAATAGAATAACTTGGTTGCACTTGGTTCAGAAGTATTTACAGATGTGTATATTGTACTTAGCAGCGGAGAATATGAGAATATGAATATGAGCAGCATAAGCATCAGAAATAATATCAACAGGTAAAGTGATTGGTGAATGGCAGAAAAATCAGATGGATATGTAATAATGCAGTAATACTAATAACAGGTAAAGTGACTAGTGAATTCATTTTTTCATTTTATGATTTAAGCTTCTCATTTAGTGTCAGGATGGACTGATGGACAATAGAAAGGTAGACTTCAGAGGCGACACGTGGTGGTGACGTGTCTCTGTTCAGCTGTTGTTACCGGACGTGGCAGGGGCGAACCTGCTTCTTTACACGTTTGTCTTATTATAACAACCTTCTCAGCCTAAAAAATAAAAAATAAAAGCTCTAACATGGTCTTTTAATTTAGTTATCCGGATTTATATTGGTGTTTGCGCACATTAATAATTAGATATTGTAAAACTTTTATACAAAAAGCTGCACTTTTTCAAAAGCAGATGTTTTGACTGATTAAAAAGGGTTTTCTTGCATCACTCGTCTTCACAGACTTACTTTAAACGAAAAACATGATTCTTTTTTAAGGCCTATTGCAAATGTAATGTATGTATGTATGTACATGCGTAATGTATTCTTACGCATGTTATTTCATGTTTTGGAATGTGAAACATCTTCAGTGGAAAATGTATGGTGAAAAAAGAATGAAGGTAAAATTATGCGTTCTGCCTGTAACTCCTTATGCTGCCACCAGATGGAGGAATAGTTGAAAATTGCCAGCTGCAAACACAGCCATGCAATTGTAAATACCTTAATTTTACTCAAGAAATTGCTAAAGCTCAATGCATAATGACATACTAAATATTACAGGACTGTGATAGAAGTTCCTGATGAGTGATGAGAAACAGATGATTTTGTATATGTCTCCTTTAATGGTGGAGTCGTTTGTCGTGCAGGAAGAGAGATTCAATTTATTTTTGTATAGCCTCAAATCACAACAGTAGTTTTAGGACTTGACAAAGCTGTTGATTCACCAGCACAGATCAGAAAATCACACAATTCAAACACAAGAAATGCACTGATTAAAATAAAGCATCTGCCTCTTATGGCCATTGGTCCATTGGGGCAGATGACCAATACATCGATTATATACATGTTACTAAATACCCTTTTATTTTTTT